GCCTCCCCGCCGCCCACGCCTGGCATCACCCGCAAGGAGGAGGCGCCTGAGAATGTGGTAGAGAAGAAGGACTTGGAGCTGGAGAAGGAAGCTTCCAGCCCCTTCCAGGCCCTGTTCCCAGGTAGGAGCATGGCTGAGACCCGGGGCTGTGTGCTGCCTGTGAAGTTTCTCCCGTCTATTCATTTAGTCTTTCATGTCTTCATCCCTTCATTTCTCTGTCTCTGCTGAGCCCTTGCTGTGTGCTCTGGAGTGAACCCAGGAGCACAGTCAGACGCTCTCCCCACAGCCCCTCCTCTGTGGTAGTGTCAGGGAAATGGGCATGATTGTAGAACCTGCCTCAGGAGGACGCATGCTGGGCATTGAGCAAAGTGAGATGGTGGGACATTCAGCACCGTGCCTGGCACGTAGCGGGTGCCAAGTTGTCATGTCGATAGCAGTATAGGGACACCCATCCTGGGCTGTACCCCCACCCCGTGTGCTGCGGGCGCACACATGGTCTTCCCCTGTCCTACATCAGTGGGGACATACAGTAGGTGGCCTGCAGGGAGCCCGAGGCTTACATTCCCCTCCCTGGTGGCTAAGAGTGTGGGCTTGTTTGTGCATGGGACCACTTGAGTTTGAATTCAGGTTCTGCCACTAGGATGCCGTGTGATTTTGGGCAAGTGGCTGCCCCTCTCTGGGGAGATGTGATGCAATGTTGGTGTCCAGCACTGAGCACGTGCCTGGCTCTGGGGGCTGCTCTGTGCTCTGTCTCCCCCCTCCCCGTTGGATCCCTGTTAGCACCTGCCACTTGCCCAGCTCTGGGCAGGGCCTGGGAGCACTGTGCAGATTCCCACTCCCACCATCCTGCTCTTAGGGAGATTTCGCTTGAGGGTGGGAATTCAGAGTGAAAAAGTGGGGCAGCAGCGTTGTATTACTGTAATTTTTTGAACAACTTGGATGCCCCATCTCTGCTTTAATGGCGTGGGGCAGTGATTCTTGTGGAGTGGAGGCCAGAGATGCACAGGCTGGGTGGGACTATTTGGGCTTTTGTTAGGCATTTCCTTCTGGACCAGCCTTGCGCTGGGTGCTGGGGGCAGGGGCTAGAGGAAGTGCTGACTCTGGTTTCTGCCTCTGAGTCTGAAGACCCCTGGGGGCAGGATGGTGGCCGATTTTCCCCCGGGGTTCCTCTGATGCCACCTGGATGAGATCCCAGCGGGCAGAGGGGGCTGCGGGCCTGTCCTGGCTGGGAGGGGATGTGGGGGGCACAGGGCTGGCAGACGTGGCAGGGGAGGAGGGCCCCGCTGACCCTCCGTGTCCTCGGCAGATATCCCGCCCAGGTACCCGTTTCCCGCCCTGCCGCCACACTATGGGCGGCCCTACCCCTTCCTGCTGCAGCCCACGGCGGCTGCCGACGCTGACGGCCTGGCCCCTGACGTGCCGCTCCCGGCGGATGGGCCCGAGCGCCTGGCCCTCTCGCCCGAGGACAAGCCCATCCGCTTGTCCCCCTCCAAGATCCCTGAGCCGCTGCAGGAGGGCCCGGATGAAGAGCCCCTGGCAGAGCGGGAGGTGAAGGCAGAGGTGGAGGACATGGACGAAGGCCCTGCGGAGCTGCCTTCCCTGGAGTCCCCGCTGACCCTGCGCCCCGAGGAAGCCATGGCAGCCCCGAGCCCCGCTGGCAGCTGTGGAGGTGGCCTGCTGGAGGCCCAGGCACTGGGCACCAGCGGGCAGGGGGCCACGGAGCCCTCCGGGTGCCTGGACTTTGCTGAGGGGGCCGAAGCGCCTGTTGACTCTCCGGGTCGGACAGTATCCTGCACAGCTGTCCCTGACTTGGGGGGGCGGCTGACCCCCGAGACTCTGGTTGAGGCTAAGGAGGAGCCTGTGGAGGTACCCGTGGACGTGCCTGTGGCTGTGGCCATGGCAGAGGCAGGGCCCGAGGAAGGCCTGGCCCAGGCGGCCCCAAGTGAGCCCCGGCCCAGCTTGGAATTGGAAGACTGTGACCTGCCCACTGGGGAGGGACAGTGTCTGAGTCTGGAGGCCCAGGAAGCCACACCTGTGCCTGGCAGTGCCTGCTTCCTGGAGGAGGAGGGCTCTGACCAGTTCCCACCTGGCCTGGAGGACCCGCTGGCCGGCATGAACGCCCTGGCGGCGGCTGCAGAGCTGCCCCAGGCCAGGCCTCTGCCCTCCCCGGGCGCCGGCCCCCAGGCCGTGGAGAAGCTGGAGGCTGCGCAGAGCCTGGTGCTGGAGCAGAGCTTCCTGCACGGAATCACCCTGCTGAGCGAGATCGCGGAGCTGGAGCTGGAGAAGAGGAGCCAGGAGGTGGCAGGTGAGCCATGCTGGGCTCTGGGCTTATGTGGGTTTGGTTTTTCTAAAAAAAATCTTTATAAGATTTAAAAATCTTGGAAACACCCAGGGTATGGTTTATTCATATTTGCTTCTTAAAAATTTTGGTAAATAACACATAACAAAATGTGTCACCTTGACTGTTTTTAAGTGTTCAGTAGGTCGTGGACATTCACGTTCAGCCAATCTATAGGTGTTTTGTTTTTTTTAAAATATACCTTTATTGATTTCAGAGCGAGGAAGGGAGAGGGGGAGAGAGAAACATCAATGACGAGAGTCGTTGATTGGCTGCTTCCTGCATGTCCCCTGCTGGGGGTCGAGCCCGCAGCTGGGGCATGTGCCCTGACTGGGAATCGAACCGCAATCTCCTGGATCCTAGGTTGAGATGCTCAACCACTGAGACACACCGGCCGGGCTATAGGTTTCTTAGTGGTGAAGTTTCTCCTTGTTCTGTCAATGGTGAATTTTGTATTAGAGGATTCTTTGAGTTGCAAAGGACAGAGACTCATTTTAACCGGCTTAGAAAAAAGTGGGAAGTTTATTGGCTCGTGGAACCAAAGTACAGCAGCAGTTAGGTAATAGCTTCAGGAATAGCTGGATCCAGGCGCTCAAACCAAGTCATCAGGAGTTTCTTTTCCTACCCACCCTCTTTCCTGTCCCTCTCTCTCCCCTTACTCCACTTTTCCTTTCTGTTGGCTTCATTCATGGCAGGCCCACTGTTCTCATGGGGGGGGTCCCCAATACTTATCCCAGGCCCATGGGCCGGCTCACCTCAGCAGACTCCCAAAAGAGGCCACCTCTGTCCTGGTAGCTCTGGCAAAGATGCCACAATTCATTCTCATTGGTTCTCTGGGGTTCACACTTTTGGCAGAAGGGAACCCTGTGGCCCAGGAGATGGGAAGGACCAGACTGCTCATGCTTCACCCCTGATAGAGTGTCGCTTCGGGGAGGGGTGGGCCTCCGAAGGAAGTGGGGTGCCCTCAGCAGAAGGAGTGGTGAAATCTGGGCTGTGCACAAAAACCCCTGATGCTCAGCATAAAAAATTGGGGCACTCCAAGACATGCGTGAAGGAGGGGTTGTGGGTCAGACACCCCACGCTCGGCCTAGCACAGAGTGTGTGTGTGTGTGTGTGTGT